ATGGCACTATAAACATGCAATGACATGATTTAACAGAGATCCATGGCTACACAGTGGCCGGTAAGCAATGTGCGACTGCGGCAACTGGTACGCATACGATAGAGTAATTGTGGAAAGTGATGTTCTCTACTGGGTCTGTGCAGAGGCTATATCTGGAGAACCAAAAACAATAAAAGAGTCAGTCAAGTACAGAGTGGTTAGCAGTCTGCAGATGAGGCAAAAGTAAGTAGCAGACTGCAATGTCCAGACAAGGCTAGGAGTTGCAACCATGAAAAGCTGAGTTGTGAGACAGTCACCAGCCAGTAAGGATGTGAACAAGGAAACAGAGGAATCTAAGGCGTTGGAAGTTGTTACCAAGCAACAACCAGTGAATACACAGCAGACTGAGAAGACTTAATGCATGTTACAGTGCACTGCAGAGTGTGTGAATTATCAGTAGCACTATAATTAATTGTAGTTATGGTTTTGTGACAGTCGAATACATCCAATTACTAATCAAATCTTGCGTCTGGTCACTAACACATGACAATACAAGCATCTCTTACTTCTACAAATGACCAGTGATGTGTTGAACATGCCAACAGTGTCACAGTTTTCCTTGCAAGTGACCAACAAATCTGTGCACGCTGATTGCGGTTTGTCTTCTACTATCAACATTTCTGGTCATGTAGGCAAACATACAAAACACCTTCCTCCCAAAGACTGACCCCAACAGTGACACCTCAGGATGAAGTAATATTAAGTAGGGGATTGTATTTTGGGGTGATGCACAGAACCACAAACGCCACAAACTCTGAGAAAGTTCTACAGACATCCTGAAAACAATGGCTAATGGGGCGCTAGAAAAGCTGTGACATGGCCAGCAAACAAAGGGTAGATATTAATAATATGTTCAAATTGATGACTCCCTTTGGAAGCGAATATGTACTGAACTTTCTGTCCTAAATACCTGTAGATGACCACCAATCAGTTTTTAAGTCCAAGATATGATGCTGCAGCCCTCTAAGAACACAAATGGAAATCTGCAGAGGAATTTGGTATCAAGTGCAAAGCATCACTTCATACTTCACCTTGTCAGCCATAACAGGCAGGCTGAGATCCAGGAAACTCTCAACACGCTGAGAGGTGTGGAGACAATCTTGACACTCAAGAGTGCTGACTAAGAAGCCACGAAACACTTGCTCAGGGTGAAGCATCAACTCCGATGCTTGGCGACCATAAGCCTTTGCCTTTACCCGAACCTTGTCTTCCACTTCTTTTGGGTCTGATTTCTCTGACAGCCCAAACAGATGAAGGATGGCACTTTGGTATCTCTATAATAAGTAGGAACACTAGGTCAGTCCCTTAAAATTAAACAGCGATTCTTGTAAGGTCACATGACCAACACACCTGCTGTCGCTTAGGCTAACAAACCCTTTCATGAATATGGCATATCTACCTGTTGGTGAAGATGAAAAGTATCTGTACTGTTCTTTACATCACATAAACAAAACTGCAGAATATTTTTCACTATAAGGTTTGACTTGACAGCACCAGATTCAGTCTTTTTCTTTGTCTACATTTTGCACTACCATCTGTGTAAAACATTTTTTCAGGTGTGCCATACATTGAGTAGGCAACCTTATGGAAAATAAAGACCTGCGTGTTTAATGAGATCTCTGGTATGATGATTCTGGTTAGCATCATATACTGAAAATAGAATCTAATAACTTTCTCATAATGAAATAATGATCTGTCACAACTCGAAAGATATTTCAGACACAATTTTTGTACTTTTAATAGACACAACCAAGTTCCAGCATCGATGTGAATAAACGTAACAATTAAACAATTACAGTGTAGATCAAATTATGAGATGTAACTTTATTACTTTTTTTTCCTTGGCACTACAGCCCCAGTGGGCCTAGACGAACCTCCATGAACGTCTCCGTTCACATCTTGATTACTTACTTACAGCTTATGTCACAACATTCTCGCTAGCTCAAGCCGTGCAGCATTGAATTGTAGGGCAATTAGTGAATAATGAATTGAAATGATGTGAAAGAGGTTGTGGCCTAATCTGACATAATATTCCTGGGAGGACAGAAGCACACTGGTGGAGACACACCAATAAGAGGACCATGGTGGGCCAAATGTAAGAATTAAAGAACGTTACAATGACATGTCTCTGAACTGAGACTCGAGCTTAGGATTTTCAGCATACAAAGCAGACCACACAACCACAACATTCAGTGTCGAGTGTGTTATCATTTTAAGAAAAAATTAAACTGGAGTATTTTAAAATTCCATCATCCCTGAACTTTATCATTATATCACCACATTCATATTATATGGTAATTTCACCGACGGTGTTTCAAAATAACAAAATTTGCAACAACAAAAAAAAGCATAGCACACATGTAAATATTACATATACGGACTTCAGTATTTCATCCACAATACTCGCTATCCTACAATGTTTTCAACATTCATGTTTTCACTTCCAAGTACACTAAGAGCTGAACTGACCCTGCTAAGTGGACTGCTGCCATCTAGAATACAAGGTGTCAACTTCAACAGTTCAACAGCTGCAAGCAAGAGAAGCTGCAGGATGTGGCACCAGTGTTCTGCCAGATTATTTGGTCCTCTGGGGGAACTGACTGATGGCCTTGTCTCTTCAACAAAAATACTTTTAGGAAAATAATAACAATGCCAGACTTCACTTTAAAGCCTGCTGTACATAATTTGAAGTTTTCACAGTGACTGTTTGCAATCAGATGATCAGCCAGGTCAATATGGGATTACTACACAGTGTTGTTGACATCTCTGTCATCTGGGGTTGATGGGATGCAGGTTATGTCTGCTTCTTGTATTCATGTGGACATATCACCATATCAACTCCCAATGTTACTGTGGAGACATCCTTTGAAATATTTGATACTGACTCCTTATTGACACGGTGATTACCTGAGAACATTTCACTGTAGAACATACTAGGTTACAATCGTTATTTCGATACCTGTATCCTTTCATATATTGTAAGGGATATATGTGGAGTGAGTGCAAGATCGTGAGAAACTTCTCCACTTCACACAGTACTGTTTGAGTTAACAAACACCACACCAGTACACACCTTCAGATCTTCAGTTCTCACCCCCTCCAGCAGATGTCTCAGTAGTTCGTGAGAGTCATGCTGCTCCCCACCTCCAAACTGGGGGCAGTGTTGAATGAGTTTATTCAACAGACGAGTTGGGTTGAATACATCATGTTTTGGTGACTGCAGTTCTTTAAGTGTAGAGGCCAGGATCTCGGTGAGATTGCCCCACTTGCTCAGTTCACCCTCCAGCACAGGCTACAACAACAATTCAACTTTATGCCTATGTCTCAGTGAGATTGCCCCACTTGCTCAGTTCACCCTCCAGCACAGGCTACAACAACAATTCAACTTTATGCCTATGTCTCAGTGAGATTGCCCCACTTGCTCAGTTCACCCTCCAGCACAGGCTACAACAACAATTCAACTTTATGCCTATGTCTCAGTGAGATTGCCCCACTTGCTCAGTTCACCCTCCAGCACAGGCTACAACAATTCAACTTTATGCCTATTTTCCTCTGACAACCCATGAATGAATATTCAGCACAGATTACAGCCAATTAACTTGATTATGCTGTAGCAGGAGAATGTCATGTGACTACAGTCAATGAGTCAGTACCACTTGAAATGTAGCCCTTCAGACGAAAAGAGTTGTATCATAATATTACAGAATTACGTGCTTTCTTGTTGTAATTTTAGCATGTTAGTGCAATAGTTGTTTCAGTATTAATTTATAATGTAAGACCAAGTACCACAGAAACAACTGACACAAACAGGACAGAGACATAGTTTTTAACCCTTTACGGTGGTTTGACGTTTGTCGTACCGTGGTATTTAAATGCCCCTGTCTGTGGTTTCACGTACTGTGTACGTTAAGCTGTNAGTTAATACTTATATCAAGTGACAAGTGGACAGTGGACAGCCACTACAAGATGCTGCCGAAGTGTAATAACACACATCCAAAGCTTGCAATAATAAATACTGCACAAGTGTGGAGAGAGTCATGAGGTGAGGTCATCCAAGAAAATAAATGCAGATATATACTTTCCATCTCAACGGCCAACTCACAAAAGAGTGGTGTAAAAGCACTGCACACATTTTCTCTCATGCAACGGACCCTGACATTACTCTGCAAAGAACATCAACAGCATTAGACCACTGCTGGTTAGTGAATAAAAAACAGCACTGAAATCCATCTGACCAGTAAAGCTGGTCTCCGTCAACATTTCACATTTGAACCCCTAGTGCATATTATGTTATTTTCCTAAAGATATCACCTATTCAGTTTCATTTAGGGAGATGGTCTGCATAAATTACCAACATTTAATCAGAACTGTTACAAACTGTTGTAAATAAAATCAAAATTTTCTTCTCTGGGGCCCATATTTTTGCAGCTTCAATGTTCATATTCATCACTAGGAGAAAACAGACACCAGTGGGAGGATAACACTGGAACAGATCTTAGAGAAATAGGATGGGGTGGTATGGACTAGAGTTCTCTGACTTGGGACAGGGACCAGTGGCCAGCTCTTTTGAACAAGATAATGAACCTTTGGGTTCCATAAAATGTTAAAAATTTCTCAAGCAGTCAAGCAACCACTGCATCTCAAAGACTCAGCTCCATGGAGTTATGTCAGTTAAATTATGTTCATATTAACCAGGCATTGATATGTGACAAACTCTTAAATACCAAATATGAACAAAGTTAACACAGCCATTCGGGTGCTAGACACATATTCACACATCCATACAAACAGACAGCATTCCCAAAACCATTTTTGTGTTCCAGAGGGCTTGCATGTGAATCTGTCAAAATCTCAAGCCCTACCTACTGTGTATATGCCAAAAAGAAAGGGGGGAGGGGTTATAATACCAAGCAAGAAGATTATTGATGTCAAGACTTTGGCTTAAATAAATTGGCAAGTTTACCCCATTCTCACTTTGTACTGATACTTATGATTAACATGCTATATGTATTCAATTATAATTACTAGGTCCCATCTGAACATCTGACTAAAAGTGGGAAATGATCTCAAAGCATTGTGAAATGAACCTCCATCTCTCACGGTGCACGCACAGGCTGTGAACTATGGCAACCACTCATTACAAGCCACTCACCAGGTCTCCCTCCTTCATAAGGCAGCCTGGCAGCTGGAATTTGGTGCCCGACTGACTCATTTCCTGGAGCACTGACAAAAGGAATGGTGTCTGCGCCAAGCACTGCAATACTGCATTGAAGAAACAAGTGTTGCCAACATTGCACAGCCCCTAAACATTCAACAAAATTAAAACTTTTATGGATGAAAATTTTTATTCTAAGTGTAATTCCTGAAGTATGTAATTCCAATATATATCACATCAAATATGGTAAATGAAAAAGTTGGCCCTGTTGTTGGCCACACCACAACAATGTATGGGGGAGTAGAGGTACAGGAACGCATACTTAACCTTAGCACCAGCTGGTGATGCGCAGTCAGCTTCATGCCCGTCATATTACCCATGGGAAAGAAGCACTCTATACCAGTTTGACAGGAGGCTGGATGGACTGCAGAGCTAGTCTATACACTGTGGAGAGAACAGAATTTGCTTGCCAACCAGCGAGAAAACAGATTCCTCAGCTGTCCAGCCCAGAGCTCAGTGGCTATACCAACTGAGCAATCCCAGCTCCCATGTCACACATCAGGGAGCTGGATAGCACAGTTGGTATAGCGACTGGCTATTGGCTGAACAACCAAGGGGTTGGAGTTCAAGTCCTAGTAGGGCCAAGAATTTTTTTCTTCTCCATGTTGTCCAGACCAGCTCTGGGGGTCCACCCAGCCTCCTATCCAATGCGTACCGGGAGCTTTCACTGGGGGTAAAGGACCAGAGCTTGAAGCTAACCACTCACCTGCAGCTAGTGCCGAGGTCAAGAAAAATGTGGATCTATACATCCACTCCTCCACACGCCTCCATGGCACAGTGCTTAATTAGTTAAGCACAGGAACAACTTCACCTTTTTACCTTTACCAATGCCATATCAAATAGGAAGCATAAGACATAAAACAAAAAGAAATGACAATGAGTAAGCTCACCCTCACTCGTGGCAAGCTGCCATCTTGCACCGCCGCTTTAGGGTTCTTTGGCGATGTAGGTGATGCTTTTATGACGACCCCTACAGATGCAATGTCACCATTCTTCACAGCTCCAACATCCTGTTCTGGAAATGTAAATTATGAAATTATTATGTCTCACACAGGGAGGCAATTTGATGTTAAGCCATGCAGTTTGACTCACTTAAGCAGACATTCACACCTCTCAGAAACAAAATGCTACACTACTGCACATGTGGTAACTGGAAACAAACAGCAACAAAGTATTTCACTGAACATGGTGCAACATGTTGAGATGGCCCCCACTCAGCCCAAGCACCGCTCCGCATCACCCACAATGCTACATTTCTGTACCATGTTAAATACTTAACACTTGTCTCTTTAACAGACTTGACACTTCTTAAAAATATTAAACAGAACAAGCAGAGGTGCCCGTTCTTCACCTCAGCTGTGGCTGCTTTCCTTGTCAATATCACAGATAACATTACCTAAAACTGTAAAGAAGGTATAATATTCAAATTAAGTAATTACAGTTTATTCATGTAATTAAAAAATAAAGATTGGAAATGAGGATTTGAATCTCATCCAAAAACTGTACTGCAGTACTAACACATCACTCTATCAGCTGTGGCTATCATACGCGTTGGCCACGCCATAGCTCAAGCGGTTGGTCGCTGGCTTCCCACTGCAGCGGCCCGGGTTCCATCCCAGGTCTGGTCAAGTGGGATCTGTGGTGGACAAATTGGCACTGGGGCAGGTTTTCTCCGAGTACTTTGGTTTCCCCTGCCAATCTTCATTCCACCAATTGCTCCACAATCACCCTCACCTATCATCTGGGGCTGGTACAATAGGCCAGAAGTGGCCGCAGTACAAGGGACTTAGTCCCACCCCACTAGCAATAAAAGAAAACATACACATTGGCAAGAGTATTCAATAAACTGCACATATATTTTTGGTGTTCTACATTAGGTCCATTGGAGGAAACAGGAAGTGACATTTGTACATATCGGCGGGCACGCGCGCGCACACACACACACACACACAATACTCATCTTGTGCCCTATTTCATTACCTTGTAATGTCATCAGTGTACAGCAGTCTTTCTGAACTGGAGGGATCTGCTCCACTGGTGGGACTTCACAGTCAGCTGGGTTGGATGGGAGGCCTTGAAAATGATAATTAGTTCAGCATAAAACTTCCCTGCACTGTAAGAACAAGCTTCTCATTAATACAGTGTGGGCTGATGTGTCCCTTTAATTAAATACCCCCAGTTCCAGGACATTTTATAAGCATTTCAGTGAATGACCCCTGAACACATTCTTACATTCTGAAGTTCTAGATGACAATCCTTTGCCTAATACTGAAGAAATTATTTGCACTGGGTCTAATAGCACTTCACACAGTGGAACCTTTCAAAGCAGGAACACTGTGAAGTGGAAAAAACTTTACACTGTCCCAGAGGACACTACTTCCCTTGCCCAGCAGCAACAATTTTCTCCAGTTCATGTTTTCTGAAGTACTTGGACAGTCTGTCAGGAGGGTCTTGCTTATGGCCCCTCGGTGTTGCTTCATTCTCTGCCAGTTGCAATTCATCAGATCTGCACACAGATGAGCTTTGTTTTTAAAGTCCATGACCTCACTGACTCATGCAGAAACTGTTTATATTTTGTATACGTTCCTCCGAAACATTGGTTAACACAACATATACATGGCGCCACATTCCAGAAGACTGCTTTCTTTTCATATTTTGTTTTCCTGTTTCTGTTCAGGGTCTTGTACACAAAGAATGCATTCAGGAGTGTCCAATTTATCAGATACACCACCAGCTTCCTTGGCTTCACAGTTTTCCTCAGATATGAGTAATAACTGAGGTAATGATCAGCCCTATCTACACATTTCATGCATGTATTGCGCTGAACACAGTGCAGTTCCTTTCCTTCCCGTGTCCACCTTTCTTATTTCATGGATTGTGCTTATCTTTCATGCACGTCTTTCATCTTTCCACACCTGAACCATTATATTACCTTTATTTGGAATAATAACTGCACTTTTTTCAAGTCCTTTTCTTGGTTGCGTGAAATACCTCTGTTTGCCCTCATAGTGTCAGAAACTTGTATTTTTGTCTGACAAATTTTTGGTAAATTTTCACTGCCATAAGAACTGTCTAGATAGCTGCAATAATTTCAACCTAAAGGTGTGTCTAAAACTGAAAGCGCCATTTTCTCCAGTTTCCCCCTTCAATGGCACATATCCCTGTGTTACAATACAGTTTCGCATGACTCCAGATTTTATTTTTTCTGGGCTTATGTTCTAAATTTCAAGCAGCTCCTCCACTGGATCACGGTTTCATCTCATTAAAATTCTTCTCTTAGGCTGTAAAGAACTAGAATTTCTGCAAGAAGAACTCATTCACCAGCTGCAATTTAAAAGCCTTCCAAAATCACGCATTTCCTTGCTGTTGTAACCATAATGCCAAGCTGGCCAAATTGCTTCATATCATTTTCTACTCACAGTGCTGTGGATTGTGCAGCTAGACCAGTAGTCTCTTACGCTGTCCTTTCTGGCTTGTCCCATTAAATTAAGTCATAAAATTTTTCTTTTTCTTCAAGAGTAACATTGGACCACTTTAGTGGCTTCAATGGTACCTTCCATTGGTGTGTACTGTGACTAAAGTACAGGACTCTACTGAATAACTGTACTAGATCATCATCTATAATTGCACTCATCACTCCAATATCAGACTCAGGACTATCAACAATTGTGTTCAATCCTGTAGATCCAAAGAAAAGTTCCTCACTTCATTTCTTATCAGTTTGGCATCACACACTTTTTCCACAACAGCATGATCACTGTTCGTTCATTCATTTATCAGTAATCTGTCAGACGACAGGTCCACAGTCTCTTCCAAAACAGTTCCTTCACTTAATGCGATCTAGCGCTTTCTCCTTCAAATGAGAATATCCTCTTCTGTCCCCAAGGTCATCCAGCATCTTCTTACGTCTTCTTCCTCGTCTTCTGGTCACTTCTATCCACCCCTCTATCTTTCCTTCAATAACTTCTTTTAGAAGGCAGTTACTGCATAAGATATGACCAATCCAATTAGCCTTCTGTTTTCTTATTTCGTGTAGGATATTCCTCTGCTCACTGACTAAATAACATTTCTTCATTTCTCACATAATCGGTCCAACTGATCTTCTGTTATGAGGCTATTATTTTCATTCTGCTTTGAACTTGTTTCATTGCCACTTGAACCAGGACCTGACTGTTTTATGCCACAAGTTGTGGCAACATCATTGTCACACTCATCATCAGATCCATCATAAAAAGTATGTTGTCATCAGCATCTATAACTCTCCTAAGCAAAGCCATTTTTCACACTAATGGAGGTTACAAAGGAACGTAAGAAGCAGACATGAATCAATGGTGGCTTTGTTCTGAACCTCTATGATTCTACAAGTGTGGGGTCAGGGACGTCTGTATGTGTTGTCTGGAGACATCCTGCCTCCAACTGTCAATAACCTAGACACAATAAGTGCAGGGGGGATCAACTGACACAACATACTTCTGCTAAGAGAATGATATTGTGTTCTATATAATTACTGGTTAACAACTTTTATCAATGATTAATACTCATATATCAACAGAATGTACATAATTATAAAAATACACTTATTAAAAAAGGGAAGCCTTGTTTACAATATAGTGTGACTACTTTTTTTGGCAAAATGACCAATGGAATTCTGGCGTCTTTCTCAGCTGATTTTCAGCCCTGAAGATGGAGGTGATACATTCCTCTGAAATGTCAGCTCATTTGTGGACTATATGGTGCTATATCCCAGATGATGGCAAATTTCATAACTACCACCATGAGAACCTCAAATCCTACAAGATACAAAAGATTCAGAATGACTAGTCCACAGAATATGTCCACTAATCTGGGAGCAAGAAAATATCACTCACTTTTCTTGGAACTTCCATGGGTCTCCTCCTGCCGCTTGATGAATTCAACACACTCATGAAGTTTCTTGCGACACTGTGCAGCAATCTCACACCCACAGTCATAACACCTGCGCACACCATATCAAAATATAACTGAGATATACAAAACATTTAATCTGAGAAGTATTTAGACACTTGTTTATTTTCAAAATCACTGCACAAATAGGACCCCTGACGATATTATGAAGGTTTCAAAATAAAACCCCCATTTGTGGTTCTTTTTTGGACGCAATGGATTTGAACACTAAATGGAAAAGAAAGAAAAATCCAAAATAGAAGTGATTTAACAATGAAACTATTAACTTGGAATCCCTGGAATTTAATGTTAAATTAGGGAAAACATTAAACTGAGCAACATTAAATGGGGTATCCACATGCTCAAACAGACTTCACATTGATTCCATCCAGTCTCAAACTTGATACTTATGACAAAGCAGGCCTCTAGAGCATCAAATCCCCTTACAACTGGTATAGGAACAATCACACAGTATAGAGGAAATCTCTAACAGCACACAATTACAACTAATGTGTGCACACTGATGTGGCAGCCTCACCAGATGTTCCAGAGCTCAGTGTTGATGACCAAAGTGTGGGGATCAGAGCGCGGTGTCTGGTGGTGCTTCAGGGCATGCTGTCCCCTGGAGCGACCGCACGCCTGATGACCGCACTTGAGACAGAGCCATAATCCAATTTCTACCTGTATCAAGGTAATGAGCATCCTTAGAAGCCACACCAAGGTAATTTGGAATATTATGGTGAATGGTTCATACTAGTAAGTTGTATCTGTGCCTAATTAATTAATCACCACCTCATAAAGATATATAGTCGAGGTATAGCTCTATTCTTTAACCTTAGGCACTAGATACAGGTGGGCTCTGGCCGCTTAACCCAGAGAAACATCCATTGGAATAGGAGGCCAGATGAGCCCCATGAGCCCCAGAGAACGTAAGACACAATGTCAAAGAGAACTTCTCTGCCATCTGGGAAATCAAATTCCTGCTCTCTAGTTGACCAGCCACAATGACTGACACATCCTAGCTCCTATAGCAAACATCAAAGATCACCATTCAGATTTTGTCTTCTGTTGGACAATACTACCTGTGCAGGCAATATAAGTTACACCTGTATCTAGGCGCCACACAATGAAGGCACAGAGGCTTCACCTCTGTACTGATTAGCTTACAAGCAGCTACAGCATAACAATGATTATTCACATACCTTGTCTCCTACTGGGATGCCATTGCTCACTGCTGGCATCTTCAAACACTTTGAACACTCATTAAGAAATCCCTCAGTACGCAATGCTTTCTTCACTCTTGATATATCCACAGCCTTGTTGACATGGGGGCAACATTTCCCACCTGAGGAGAAGCAGCATTCACTCAACCCATCAAATGACTAACTTACAATCAGCATTTATGTCTATTATTGGAAAAATACATGAAAAATATTGTACACAACAAAGAAAACCAAACTACACAACCTTTCCAATACTGAGCCTATAATATCATGGGCACCTGCAATATAATATCCTTGCTTCAGGTGGAACATCCAGACATATCTCTCTCCCAAACTAACTTTCTGGATACATTCAAACAAGCTGGGTATACACTTGTGTCAACATGAACAAAAACTCCACATCAGACCTCTCTGCTGCTTCTGCATACCACCTTCCCACAATGATTAGAAATTACTTACTTACTTATGGAGCTGAGCCCTTCTTGAGAAGCCAAATCTGCAGCAACTCAAGAATTTCCCAGCATTTTATAGAACCCGAAGATTCCTTACCATGTTCACAAGAGCCCAATTACTGCACCTATAAATTAGAACACCCTATACACTACATAATCTTAAGTGGTTAAACAGTTCCATCCAGTGGGACTAGACGGAACTGTTCAACCTCTTATGGTGCTGTTAGTGTGACGGACCAGAATGAAACAAATCATACCTAATCTTATTTTGACCATCACAGAAATAGTAACAAGATGTTCTGGGAAGAACTAATCATCTACTTCCCTTTCACTACTGTTTGACTATCTGATATGACAAGTATAAAATGCATAATGAAGTAAATAAAATAATACTATATGAATGAATGAATGTATGAGGGGTAAGCCTTCTCGGCCCTTGCACCACGACCTACCATGGTCTATTGTGCTTAAATAATACTATAAACACAACTTTTATATATAACTTGAATTGCACACAAAATAATAATTTTAAGTGGTTAAGTCATTGCCAGAACCAATATATAGGAAGTACAATACAGGACTGTGATCAGTATTATATTCCTGAAGTGAGTGTTTAAACAAGATCAAGCTTATGACTTCCACATCAAAAATTTGAGTAGCTGTTATGTTGGTATTATATTTATGAGATATTATGCTGTGAGTGCCCCATAAGGCATGACTGTCATACCAAATTTCATGACAATCAGTTCAGGTCATATTACTAATCGGAGGGATTTATGAACTACCCTCAGGTGGCATGATATATATACCAAGTTACATGCAGATCAATTCACACATTCAAAAGTTGTTAGAGGGGGATAAACATAAAGACATACAGACACATACACACACAAGGACACATACAGAGAGCAACGTGATCACATAAGCCCACTCTTACTTTTTCAAAATATGGAAACTAGGCTAAATTGGTGCCCACAACTATTCCTAGATCATTTTCATAATGTAGCTTATGCATTAGCATGTATTAATTCAATTTATTTATGATTCCACACTTAAGGAAGGTGCAAAAACAAAGACAGCACAGGGAGTACAGCTGGGCACTACCTACTTGAAAGCAGGAAGATTAATGCACGACATTTCCTACTGCTCATACTGAATGCATTTGCAGTGGTTCACACATCCTCCAGATAAAACATTAAGCACCAGACCACCAATTAATTCCCATATATAGGACTGCTGATAACAAATATGTTTCAGATTAATAACTGATTATCCCCCAAATTCTGTATTCATCAAGCGGGTAAAAAATAGAAATATTCTAAATCTGATGTCATATGGTCAAGGATGCAACAATGGGTACAACTGTAGAACTGGCTATCCCTTCATCCCCTCTTCTCTCCCCTCCAAACATACCGCCATACTGCTCTTCAATCAGTAACAAAATTCACCCAAGTCTCTGCCCACTCTTAAGAATTAAACATATCTTACCTACAGAACTGAACAAGATTTAAATGTTCACCAGTTAAACTCCTCAACACATACAAAATATCTGTGAATTTGTTTCATAATGCTGACCATGAAACAATTCTTAGAAAACCACCTCCCAGATTTACGACAAACGCTACTCACAGGAGCACAATAATATTCACCTGTGTTATTTGCTTGGGTTTCATCACAACTCTCAGTGGAATATCCTCCATTTTGTCCTGATGGTTCTAGCTGATGACGATTCTTCTTTTTCTTGACCATTCTGAACAAAATTCACGCGATGAAATCTCTATATTGAAAGCATTAAAAACTTACGTTGGGCAAAACGGAATGTCTGAAACCAAGAACATGGTATATAATTCTACCAGCATAAAATTATGTAGATATAACAACTTGAACTCGTATATACCACGTACCCTATATTATATATAAAAATTTGTTCCCAGAACTTTCTTAAACTCTGCAATGCACGTAATTACTATTTACAATGTGCGTCATCTCTATAACAATTAATGTGGATGAATTCAACTTCAGTTCTAATCGTCTGCCTTCCATATGAACACCGATTACCATGTGCAGAAGACTAAAAATAAACGTACACGTTTTCAACCTATTTAGAGACGTTAGTATTACATTACACAAAAATTAGAAGAAAAAGACAAAACGTCAGGGTCCATGAACTCATCAATATCTTCCCTGCTTCACATATAAATAGTCTTCCATGTATGAAAGATGTGTTAGGCGAATCCTTCATTTCCGATAGACATTTGCACTTTACTGAATTAACCTGCAATTAAGAACTGCAAATTCTGGCTACTTGTTCAACGAAATATTTCCCCTCACCAAAGCCAACATCAATACACAATTCATGCCTTACGCATACCACGTACCGCCACGGACCACCAAGTATTAACCACGGATTACTTGGATTTCTGCAGCAACTTTCATAGGTGGGATCGGTGAAGTTGGAGAACAGAACCGGATTACCTATGAACAGGAGAGAATGTGTTCCTGTGAGACTAGACTTTCGCACAGAGGTACGTTAACTGTGTTATTTTTGTTACTTCTACGTGGATCGAATGATAAGCAAGTATCAGTGTTCAATCTAACCCTGCTTTATTAAGACTAACCTTTTGATACACAAAGGCGTTTTATATATTTTCACACATAACAGTAAAGAGATTCTGTTGTTACACACATAACCATAGTAACACACAACGCTAGAGAAATTAGGAACAGCGCATATAGCGCAGTCTATTATTGAAAATTGTTTACTACGACGTTGCCAACTCTAGCATTATATTTTAACATTAGAGAGTTGCCAACACAACATTCCCCCTTAAACAATTTTGGGAGTTTAGAAAATACTTATTCATTAATCAATATATAAAAAAAAATATCATTTGGAAACATTGTTCTTAGCACAATCCAAGTGAATTAATAAAATCAGTATGTTTCCGTACATTTAAACCTTTCGTGCAACCATCAACAACTAATTGATTTTTCAAGAATGTAATGTACTGATAATTCCTTTGATTCAACCCCCTCCCTTACAAAATTAACTTTTTTGTCAATATGTTTTGTTCGGTCATTATTGACAGGATTTTTCACAATAGCTAAAGCAGCACGATTATCACAAAAGATAGGAATGGTGATTTCCTTGTTACATATTTCAAACCATAATTTTCTCAAGAAAATAACCTCTTTCGCGATCTCGATAACGCCATATATTATGCTTTTGTGGTTGACAAAGCTACAGACCTTTGTTTTTTACATCACCAACCGATAGCTGCTCCTGATAGTCCGAACACAGATCCACTAAAGGATCCTACGATCTAAATTTCCACCCCAGTCCGCGTCGGAAAAACCTTCCAATTGATCATTATTCTAAGAATATACAATACCTACACACTTTGTAGTATTTAGGTATTTTAGAACTCTTTTCAACAAAACCCAGTGCTCTCTCATGAAACAAGTGTTAAAGTGGCTCAAATAAGTCATAGCAAAAGATATATCAGGACGCATATATACGGCTAAATACATCATTGAACCTACACCTTGTTGATATGGCACATTATCTAGATTCTCGATCGATTTATTTGATTTAGGCAACGGTTTCAATTNAAATCCCAGAAGACTGCTTTCTTCTTAACAACATTCTTCAAATATTGAGTGTGGGTTAACTTTATAGTTTTCTTTGCCCCATNCTTTGGTTCTGTTGGATGATTAACTGGTTTAGTCTCATTAGGAATATTAAATCTCTTAAGAACATTGTAAGATTTGAGGCTTTCACGGCGGTGACTATGAAGACAGCATTCTTCTTAAGAACATTGTTCAAATATTGAGTGTGGGTTAACTTTATAGTTTTCTTTGCCCCATCTCTGTTCACTTCCATTCCTAGACATTTCTTAACCAGTCCCAAATCCTTGACTTTAAAACACTGTTGCAATTTTCTTTTTAAATTCTCAATTTCAACATTGCCATTATAAAATATGAAGAAGTCGTCAACATACAATGCTATATTAATTACAGAATTACCCTTCTGTTTGGTATAAATACATGGTTCAGAACAAGTTTGCTTGTACCCCGGGCTTTTCAGAACCTCTATTGCTTTCTTATTCCATGACCTAGTGGCTTGTCTTAGTCCGTAAACTGATTTCTTTAACTTGCAAACTTTATTAGACTCCCCCTTAATATCATATCCCTGAGGAAGCTCCATATGTATAACTTCCTCAATATCTCCATTTAAAAACGCGGTACAGACATCAAGGTGGTCAATGTTCCAATCATGCTTAGAAGCTAAAGCAAATAACAAATGCATTGATGAGTGTTTCACTATGGAAGCGAAAGTTTCAAAATAGTCTGTTCCCTTTGTTTGGCTACAACCTTTTGCCACTAAACATGCTCTGTGACATGCAGTATTTCCTTCAGCATCTCGTTTAATTTTGAAGACCCATTTTGACTTCACTACTGGCTTATTCGACCGTCTATCTACTATTGTCCATGCTTCGTTTGTTTGGAAAGCTTCTAACTCCTGTTGAATAGCTTCTTTCCATTTAGATTTATTGGAGCTTGACAGTGCCTCTTCATATGTGACTGGTTCTGACCCCTCATCTTTATGCATGGCTAAGTAGGTAATAAATTCTGGAAATTCTTTCTGTTTCCTGTTCCAAAGTGGATATCATCTTTCTTCCAAATTTCCTGGTAATTGTTCTAAGCTGTTCGGCTCTAATGGAACTTCATTTCCTTCGTTTTCTACTTGTGTTTGTCCTTCTTCGGGGTTTTGTTCTTGCGGAATCAGTCTTTCATCTTGTGGGTCGAGGTAGAAACTTGAGAACTCTGGAAGAATCTCTTTAAGCTGAAATCCTTTCTCGCTCTCTTTCTTGTTTATAATTTCTTCTTCCAGAAATTCTACATCTCTTGCCTTAACTATCGGAGACAGATTGAGGGGATCTGATAACCGATAAGCATTACTATCCTCACTGTATCCCACAAAAATGTATTCTGTGATGGTACATGAGCATAAGCTGGTCATCCGAAAATTTTTATGTGGGAGAGATCAATCTTTTCTCCTGTCCATATTTCTTCAGGCAAAATCAAAGTCCAAACCCAACGCATACACTTCAACTCTGCAAATGGAGGCGGAATATCCCTTCGAGGTGTTGCTACTTACTGTACGGCATCACAACTAAGATCGTGCACTCGTCTTTACACGGATCCATAATAGGCCGATTCTGTAAACATTGTACAATGTTTGTACTTGTGTTTGGTCAACTATATTTCTTTCATTTCATTTCTTTCATTCTTTTATTAATCCTGTAGATCATGATACAATGATATAGGACAAGTCTTTCAGCTAATATACATTATTAAATTACAACAATCTTAATACTAAAAAATTATATAAGATATACAACATTTTATACACTATATACATACTATATACTTCTGCTTATATCAGTAGCCAATATTCGAGAATTCATCGTTCAAATAGTCCTCCATTGAGTAATAGCACCTCTGAATAAGTAGCTTCTTCAATTCCCTTGTGAACTGATTTTTGTTTTTATTTCTTTTATGTTGTTAGGCAGTTTGTTGTATAAGATGCAGCCAGCTACTGAAGGATTACTATTATAAAGTTCTAAGTTGTGCCCATATATATGATAGTCTTTATTATTTCTTGTGTTATATGTATGTATTTGTTCATTCACTGTGCAATTACACTTTTTTTTTACATATAGGACTGTTTCTTGTATATATAGTGAGTATACTGTTAGTATCTTTAGATTTCTAAAGCTATCCCTGCACGATTCCAGGTGTTTTAGCCCTGCAATGTATCTTACTGCCCTTTTTTTTGGAGTACAAAAATTCTTCTAGTGAGGGTCTTAGCACTATATTCCCATACAATTATTCCGTAAGATAAATGAGGATAGATCAAACCGTAATACAACATTCTTCTTTCATTTAAATCAAGTATTTTAGCTAGCCTGTTAATTATGAACAGGTTATGGCTAATTCTACTGCAGGTTTTTTTCAATATGTAATTCCCAACTCAAGGTACTATCTATTACTATCCCCAGGAAATTTGTGCTTTTTACATTTGATATTTCCCTGTTCTTTATTAGGATTTTTAGGTTAGTTTCCTGCCCGCATTGTTTTGTCTGGAAGAGAATATAGTGAGTTTTAGATGGATTTATAAATAAATTATTTGTCTCAAAGTATTGCTCTACCACTCCTATATTATTTGAAGGTTTTTGTTGTTGTATGTTCCTAGAACTGTAAATAGCTATCCCACCCCCTTTTTGATCTTTTCTGCTGAAGTGTAAGGCTACAGTATATCCTAATATACATTGAGTAATTTCGTCTTTAAGACCATGTTCCGAAATTGCCAATATATCCAGGGTGGTACTTTGAAGGAATGCTGTGAATAGTTCAGTTCTATTACTGAGATATTGTGCATTTTGATGTATTATTTTGAGCTTTTGTCTTGAGTTAGTTTCTATACTTTGTAATGACTGGAGCCTTATGGATCCAGTCTCCTTTATTAGTTTCCCTGGTTTAAGTCCCTTAAAGCTATTACATTTAAGTGATTTTTTTCTGTTTTGCCTATTATTTTACTTATTTCTTGAGATATATGCTCTTTGCCTATTTTGTTTAGGTGCTTATGTTGCTTATGCCTAGTAGTTTTACATTTCTGAATCTTTTACATACCTTGTTTATGTCCAAATTTGCTTTCCACTACTGATTCTTTTATTAAATCATGCCTAGTTGGTATATTGAGAACCACGACATTTGTAGAGGTCAGTGCAGAAAGTGTACTTTTTACAGTTGTTATAAAATTCTTTGCTTTATTCCTGAAAATGTCATTGGCACCCCACATAATGACAGCATGGTCCTGAGGGCATAATACTGCACATTCTTTTACACAGTTTTTAAGTACATTTGTGTCAATCAAATGTTGTTAAAGTAAAGGTGATTGCCCGCTGGCCTGGCTGATATCGTTTCTGCTTGCATTATGGAGTTAGTATTCTGTATTCATATTCGCATAGGACATTTATTACTGTTGATTAACACAATTATGGCATGGACTACACCTTTGTCCTGGAGTAATGCAGCCACTGTAAACAGAAGTGATGGATATTTTCTGGTTATGGAGGGAGATGGAAGGGGAGTTAGTATCTAATTTGACTGGTTGTTTTTCATCAGATGTTAACAGCTGAATGGAACCAATGAACTCAATGTGTGCAACTGAGAGTTTGATATCTGATACACGGTTGTTTTGGTTATGCCAGTAGAAAATAACGGCTATGTAGAGGTACAGTCGGTATGCATGTATGTAACTCAGAGCAATTACAGAGCTTCTGCAATTGGTGAATAAATGCTAGTAATGATGGCATTCCTAGGGGACATAAGAAGTCACACATCATCTGGGTTTCACAGAGAACGAATCCAGTCTCCAAAACATTATGTTTTAAATAAAAACAGGATGATGGATAATGTCCATTAACACAATAATTGTACTTCCACATGACTGACTATAGATGGGGTTTGGATTGATAATTGGATTTACTGAATTGTTACAGATCCGTGACTAGAAGTAATTATAAGTTTCACTATTTCATGCACTTAACAGTTCACTAGAACATGTACTTAAGTCTTCTCAGCCTGTTGTGTCTTCACCAATCTTCTGGTAATGGCTTCCAGCGGCACATGGTCCACTTCCTCTTGGTTCCCGAACTGCCCTGTGCTTCAGCTACAGCAGCTCTTAACTGCCTGCAGACCCTCTCTTGATTCACTTAACTCACTCACTCACTCACTAACTCACTAACTCCAAAGTCAAAGTTAATTTATGACTGGCAGTTTACCACCAATATACCATCACAGATGTTTGGGCCAAAATGTTGAATTTGTCACAGGAGTAATGTGGACAATCCTAAATTTAAAGATAAAGTAAATTCTTCTACTGAGTAGGAATGAAGTCAGAGGAAATCTGTTAATACTGCACTTTTATAGGATTTGTACTCTAAGGGTAAATGAAACATTACTGAGTAACTTGAGTCTTGTGTAGTACAACCCTGTCTGATAATGTGAGGTTAGTATTCAACATACGGAGAGCCTGTGTTTATAAAAAATGTGCAAATTTTATTATTATAAGTTAATATTTTTGTCTGATATGTGACACACATGGTGCACACCAAACACATCTATTGGGATGCGAGGTCTGAGGTAGGCTGACAGAAGTAGCTCCTGCATGCTGTTTACTTGGCTTACACTTTCACTCTGAAGATGGATGTAGTATGTTTCTCCAAACTGCTGATGTATCTGACTACATCCCAGAAGATATTACTCTTCACATGTATTACTAACATGATTAGTATTGAAACCTACCACATCTAAACCCTTGGAACCATAAATGTGCCACATTAATCATGAGGACTTACTACGTTACCTAGATTATACTAGTAATTAAACTTGTGGTCTTCTGGAATATGGTCTGGTATATAATTACCAACATTTCAGGGAAAACTTCTATTTTCTGACAAAGGATGCAGATGGTCCTCCAAAATGTTGGTGCTTGTCAACCAGACTATGTCCCAGGAGCATAGTCTTAATATTCACTGCTGTGAGAACTTCAAATCTCATACCTTGGTTATACCTATGCCTTGCCTTAATGACAACTGAGAGGGGAAGAGGTAACTAGGAAAATTAAAAGATAGTTTACAATGAGCAATGTATTTATATCACATGGACAGATGATATATTTACACATGGAGAACTGTAGCAAGATCACAATTTTACAGTTCCTGCTACAGAAGCAAATCTCACAAAATGTCACACAGCCTAGAAACGTAAGGCACCTGCTACTATTTTCAGCCAGCAAACATTCAGGATTACATAACAACCATGGCTTGTGTTGGGGACACTAAATGTGGAACACAAGTTTAGGATTAAATAAGGACCATGGCCTGTGTTGGGGACACTAAATATACAACATAAGTTAATTCTTTTTGAACTGACTGACTTCTGTCTCTTGAAATGAGTTGCACAGAATTATTTACTACTGTGTGGAGACACTGAACATGTCATTTGTTTAAGGTCTTTCAGACAAGCAACATCAACTACCGACAGACAACACACGTCAACAACATCCCGAAGCAAAAAGATTGGGCCAAGCGGGAAAGAATTCTAGGGATTTTAAGAATTCTTACTTCAAATAACGAAATATAATTTTACAGAATTAACGACGAATCAAATAAGGAAGCTACTGTGGTGTGTGAAAAACTTTTAGTGAACCGACATTCTGGGTAATTTTAACTATTTGTAATTATTTTAATTAACTGGAACGTGGCTATCTTGGACAAAGTGAAGTTTTGTGTGTTGGTGATTTCTTTTTCTACTATAAATGCCTCTGATGATGGCTCCGTGGTGAGCCGAAACATGTAAGGCAGGTGCTGACGAGGTGGAAAACTTAAAAAAGTGTCACATTTGACGGAAGGAACTTGATTGTTAAGTGTCATTTGTTCCTTTTGTATTTCAGTTTCATTGAGGTATAATTGAAAGACAAAGTTTGACACTGTCATCTTGACAGATAATAGAAATAACCTGTACAGGTGTTATTGTGAAGCATCTTATTTCTTCACACCATGATGCCACTGTATGACCAAGCACTGACGGTGCTTATGAAACATCCCCTACTTTACCTACAAATGGTGTGGACTGCATCTGGAACTAATACATTCATCATAGTTCACAACTCAGGAGACCAGAAGTCAACTTGAACACACAGATAAGAACAGAATTTAGTAACAGTGAAACCTGATGCTGGAAAATTATACTCTTCTGTGCAGCCAATTAACAACTTTCTAGTAAGAATAAAACAGACATAATTTGTTGCATTAGGACAATGGTTACAAGCTGGCTGGAACTGGCAGCAGGGTCAAAATAAACATTAATACTAATCTCAGTCTTCTATACTATAATGACATACAACTTAAAACTCAATCAATCACAAAAGGAGTTGAGGTACACCATGAGATTATCCAGGGTTCATACACATACCCTATTGCTGAAACTCAGCTTCATAAAAATCATGATCCAAAACTGAATGTTTTCACAGCTAAGAAAGGAAGGAGACCCTTCAGCTATCAGCATCTGTGTTCATCCCTTTTTAACATTTCCAATACATGGTCAAAAATTATAATACCAGTGTTTAAATCAATACACTGACCCTCTGTGGATGAATGCATTCATTTGTACAGAATCAGTCAGCACTGGCACCAGAAACAGCAATCCATACACACTGTCTACCTGTTCATTGCACATAATATTTGCTTGGTGGACATTCAGTTATGTTACACAGCTGTATCAACTGCTGAATTTTGTAGCTTCAGATGAAATATGGTATTGTAGGTAATAAAATATTGTGTTGTAAATACTGAAATTTGGCATAACAAGTAATGAAATTGGAAGGATGGGGCAGGAAGTGAAGGAACAATCCCAGTATTCATCTTGACAGACTGAGTGTGTCCCAGGCTAGAATTGTGATCAAGTCCCTTCTGCATACAAGTCTGGTATATGAAGATAACACATACTGTCACTTATATATTCTAAATATCATTAACCCGTTGCCGTGGTTCGACGTGTATGTTTCGTCAGGGATTTAAATCGTCTGGGGGGGTTCGACGTGTATGTTTCGTCCAGCTGCACACCTATGTTATAACGCCCATAATAATTGATGGTTTTGCTGTAGATTGTTAGATTTTTCGCTGGCCTGTTGTCAGTAGAACAGAGTATAAATAAGACACGACTTTATCTGCGCCAAGTCATCGTTACATATACCTGTCTTGCAGCAAAGTTCCTGT